ATACTACAATGTAAAGACTTATTATTATTTAGTTTTTATTATTATTATCATCGTTATCATTCTTATAAACTTAGGATGAACTAAGGTCATAATTGTGTTTAACTTTTTATATTTTCGACAGTGGGCGGCGGCCGCCGCTGCGGGGTGCGGTGGGGGCAGCGCCCACTTCGCCCTCTGCTAGATCCGCCCCTGCCCCAGTGCTTTGCACTGACTGCATTTCCCGTAGCTACGCCACTGATTTAAATCAGATTCTTCTTTAACATGTGACAAAATGGGAGACGGTGAGACATACAGGAGCTAAAACTTTACCCGGGCTATTATTTTTAAATTTTAATTTTTAATCCAGTACTTTAAGTTTATGTATTGTATTTTTTATTGTCTAATTGCTCTGCATGTATTGTGGTTCGAAATCATTATTTTGGCTGATAATGTAAATAGTATAAAATATATGATTTTTCATCAAATACTAAGCTCATACAGTACTATGTGTGTGAAATGAGAGGGAGCCAATTATCCACATAGCAACCAATGCGCAGGCGCAGTTCAATTTATAAACTATTGCCTGGCGATCGCCGTGTTGTTATTGAAGTTCGTCAGTGAATGATGACTGAAAATGTCTGCAAATCTTAAGCATAAAGCTGTGAAGTCACAAAAATTGCCGACTTCTAAGTTCTATGACAGCAAGTCTAACCCCGTTATTAATGCATTCAATGAAGAATATAAACTTTTTCGACAATTTATCAAAAGAACACCGACAGCGCTGAAGTCCAAACATGACGGAGAAAGGAAAGCTGAAGCCCAATCGACTTCGCGAGGGTGAGGATACCTCGGTCTGGCGTAGGCTAGGCCTAACTAAGACTAGTTAGCTAGTATGTTATATAAGGCCAGGCCTAGCTTAGTTAGGCCTTGGGGTTCCTGGCCATAGAACTAGGCCAAGCCATAGGTTAGGCTTAGGCCCATACTCCCACTGTAGGAGGAGTCTTGAAACAGGGTGGGTGGGGTGAAATTGTTGGTGCGGGATCGGTGGGATGGGGTGGGGTGGGGGGCGCTAGCCTAGCCTAGGCTCTCAAATAATTAACCCCAAAATCATCCCCATTGTTGGCAATGCAAATCCTTCCTATGCTGTGTGCATCCAATTTGGTATCTCCAATGCAAGTGGGATTATTAATCGAAAAGTGTATTTTTGTATCATGAGGCAAATAAATAAAGGACAATACTCTAGCCTAGGCCAGCCTAAATTAAATAAATTGAATTCCAATGCCAATGGTGAAAATCGTTACCATTATTAGGCCCTAGTAAAAATTTTATTAGCATAGGGCCTAGGCATATGCTAGGTTCATGTAATATTTGTATACATCGTTAAAAATACAGTAGAACCCCTCATTTACGAACCCCGATTTTACGAATTCCCGATTTTACGAACGTAATATAAAGGTGATGACGTCATAAAAATTGAAGCGAAAGATTTAAAAAAAAAAAAAAAACCCGCTTGAATTGTGCCCCGCTCGAATTGTACCTGTTATTACCATGCATACAACACAACACACCATACTATACAGTACTATGTAATTCTCAAGTGAAGGAGGCCCTCTAACGGGCCTCTTCAAAGTCAGTGTTTTTTTAATGGCTTCACACATGTGCATGCGACAAATTTTACTTCTCTTTCAAACATCGTTTTCAGCTTTAAAATTCAACATAGTGCTTGATTGTTTTATTGAATGATCAATATATATAATAAACAAGTATCTATTCTATGGAAGTTGTGTTGGAATAAAATCCACGATCTAGGTATTTAAGAAGGTAAAAATGTCCGATAAAAACAAATTTGTGCAGGGCCTAGAGTGGGATCAGAATGCTTAGAAGCTGCCAACTGTAGGCCTAGGCCACCTCAGACTTAGCTGCATAAGCCTGTAGGCCTAGCCTAGGCCTAGTTTA